ATAAATATTGAATGTATCGAACGATCTTAATAATACTTACCGCTGTCGATACGATTGATTGTAAAGGAGGGCTTGTAGTGGTAAGACTCGTTTCTACAGGGGGAGGCGTATCCGATGGATATGAATCGTTCGTTTCTTGCTTAATGTCCTCGGATTCTTCGGATACACTGCTACTTTTACTTCGTCTTCCGTGTGTCAGTCTAATTTTTTCTTCTTCACCTCTTTGATACCTCTCATATGGTAACAATAACCTGTTCGTTACAAAAGATTCTATAGACGATTATCCGACTTCATCGTTAATCAACGACAGATTTTTCATTCGTATACTTTACCTTTCGTAATGCCGTCGAGTGATAGTCGCTGCGCTGGTAGATCCTGTATTACCACCTATATCGTCGTAGATATTCTTCCACAGTCGACCAGCGCTGACGGAATCATAACCACCAAGCATTTGCACTTTCGTATAAAACAGGAAGAGATCGACTGTAAGCAAAAGAATCTCATTAGTTCAATAGGTTTTGTATATTTTGGTAAATATTTATCGTACGTAAGATTTGTCAAAAGGAAACACTGCTGTAGATCAGCTTCGAACAGTACCAATCACTGTTTTAATTTAATTACATATGGATCAACATTTACATATGTGAAAATATAATTAAGGATAGATTATACAAATTTCCGCCAATTGTTAAAAAAAAAAAAAGACATCACACAGATACTGACTCTGCCTGTAGCCCAGCAGTGGCATCTTTCCGACAGGCGTACCCCGCGAGTTCATGAAATTCTGCACGTCCGTTATGAATTTCTTTTCCTCCGCGCTGGTCTTCCGCTCGCTTCGCCGTACTACCGACGAAGGTGGTCTACCAACGCTCGGTATCATAACGTTCGAACTCGCTGGGGCACTTTTCGACGTGGATGCAACGGAAGCTTCACTTTCATTACTCGATTCACCGGGCGATGCGCTGCGCTTTTTACGTTTCCTCCTCGGCCTTCCTTTCAATTTTGGTGCTGAAAAATATTTCACTTTGCTTTCAATCTTGAAATGAAAATAAAACGTAAATATAAAAACAAAAATAAACACATATACATATTTAGATTTCTATATTGACGAGAAACGAATGTTCAATATATGTTCAATATAAATATAATAATAATAAAACGATATTTTCATTGATATCGGATAAAAAAATCTCATTATTTGTTTTTTTACAGCGTAAATAATAATCATTCGGATTAAATGACAAAATATTATCGTCTTATACGATTTTATTTTTCACTGTACCTAAAAGATTTTTAATACGATAACATGATTCGAAATTTGAAAATTTATCGAAAAATGACTCTATGAAAAAATATCATTTTTCATTAAATATCATCATTTTCATTATCTGATATTAAATTTTAAAAAATTAAAACAAATAAATCAATATAATAAGTTGTATACATACATATTTTATTAATTAGTAATTTAAATCATAACATATATTAATGTAATGATTTAATAATTAAATGATAAAAATTAATTTCGAAATATAAAAATTGTTATTCGTAAATTGCAATTTATATTTATATTTCTTTACATTATTAAGCAATTAGCTAAATTATATGGTCCTAATTATCATACTAAATATCTAACAATCTAATAAAAGTTAAAACATTCTTTATTTTTAATCACTAGGATCCCCTCATCGCTTTTCAAATTTATTTAACACTTATCACATAATATTTATCATACAATGTAGCTTAATACAAAATTATGTATCATTTCTACTTAAATTTCCAAATCTATTCCACGTGCACGTGTCACATTTCAATATAAATCCCGCCCGAAAAGTTAACCAACAATTTTTCCTTTGTACGAAGCACAAAGAAAAATAGAATACCTACCAACTAATTTAAAATACACAATCTTATTTTCTTGTATCTTCATTATTATGGACATTGTGCTTTGTATCAAAATAAATATCTAGCAAATGAATCGATAAACGATTCATATGTCACACTATACTATCACATTCACTATTAAAATTTTTATAAATCCTGACACATCGAATTATATACATATTTGAAGACGGATGTATATATGCTAATAGAAGTGTTAATATGCTTTGTCATCGTTATAGTTACAAAATATTTTTCCAATGAAGAAACACAACCTTATACTAACGTTCTTCCCGCTAGCCTTACCCGATACGTTCTATTGTTTTTTAAATGGCTCTCTAGACTATGCAATGTAATTGTCTGTTGCGAACACATGGTAATCTCGGTCGGTAAATAATAAAATATCTAATAATTAATTAATTAATGATTATTAATATATCATATAAAATACTTATTATTTAATTATATATTAAGTAAACATTTTACGCAACGAAAAGTATTTTATATAAATAGATTTTGATTAAATCTGTTTTATCAAGTTTTTTCTACTTCTATTTCGTCATCGATGTAAAAAGAAAAATAAATTTCAGTTGGTAACCTAACCTACCTAAATGATTGCAGAGGAGTTCGTGAGTTTCAAGATCCGGATAGTCAAAGGTATCTCTACAGAAGAGTATCCT